TTTTTGAGGGAATCATAAGCATTTCAATAGGTTAGGCTTCATGGGATACATCCGTTTCTCTTAGGTAGCATGAAATAAATTTTGGACTCTTTTCTTATAAGAGGAAACCCATCACTAAGGTCATCTCTATCACACTTACTCTATTCATGAGTATGACAGGTTTTCTCCATCTATATATCCTGACTCCTAACTAGCCTAATTATATCATGTAGATAAGCCATTGGCTTAAGTACTTTTTGCATATCATAGCACTTAGTAGTAAATTAGATATACAATATAATACAGTGGCTCTTAACAAATATTTTACTGATTATATGTTTTCATCACCATACACATATTTGAAATGTATGTAAGCAGTTTTTCTACTAGCACATAATTTTGGGTTACCTTAGTCTTTACATCATCTAAGATAAAGCTTTTTGTTAGCCTACTGATATTTGCCAAATCTTTAAATTTGGTTTGCAAATTGCGGTTGTCCAAACTTCAATTTGGACAAGACCGAAGAAGTTAGTTAGCTATATTTATACTAAAAGTATGTTAGTATTGTTAGATTAAATTCTCTGTGGAGTCAGGCAAAAATAGACACATTGTATTCCAGAAACAATCTGGGGACACTATGGATTATGTAATATTTTGGCAATAAATCTAGAATTTTACAGGATTATAAGCAAATGTGTTAGTTGGGGTTTCAACACTGTTCTAGTAACATGTATAAATGGTGTAAAAAGCTTGAAGAGTAGGGCTGCTGAAGTGTTAAACTTGAGGCGCTTTTCTCCTTAGAGCACTTAGCAAATTACTCTTCCTGTATACCTTTTATTCACTCCTAGTTCACGTGAAAAAGCCAATGACTTCCCCAAGCAAAAATATAATGATGAGAAGCAGCAGCTAAACAGGAGTTGGGCTCAGGGATTCTAGAGTGGATTTGGTATCTAATGTTGAACTATCTCTAACGATCTGGAGATTAGCATACACATCAAGTCCTTTCCTTATCATTGTCTGAATTATCTGAGAATCATTAAATAATTCTTATGTATTAGTAAACTCTTGAAATGTCTGAACTCTTTCACAGATCTCCTGTTATAAAGAAAGTGGTTCGTCAGAAAGAAGGTAACTTCTTTGGGCTTGATACCCTTATGGCAGTCCTTTCTCTTAACATTCCCCAAACTTATCTTTGAATTGCACATCATGCAAAAGGAACTTTATTTCCAATGGTTAGATCTTCAACGTGGCTTATAAAAGCTTAATTAACCTATAATGTCTTGGAAGGTGTATTATTTTTGACCACATTTCATCACTTATAGCTCTTTTTTCGGGGGGGGGGATAAAATATATTTATAGCATCAGGTCAGTATACAAAACACAAACATTTCTCCTTGACATCTCCTCTTGTTCATAATAAAAAGTATGAATTATATCAGTAGTAGGGGAAAGGAGGAAGGCAGTGTTGGTGTTTGCAGGCATCAATAACTTATTGATAGACTATAACTGCTATTCAATATAGTCATACGAGCCAAATGTAGTCATACGAGCCAAATGTGGCCATTAAGTAATTAAAATTTTAAAATTCAGTTTTTCGGTCATCTCAGCCACATTTTAAGTACTCATAGCCACATTTGGCTACTAGTGTATTGAGCAGCGCAGACCCAGAACACTTCCATCATCATGGAAAGTGCTGTTTTATAAGACAACTTTAGTCAGACATTTTCAGTTGGGGGAAGAGAGAAAACTGTTCCTATTAGGATTGTGGCTCCCCAATGTCAAATTTGTGAGTCCCTTATAAATTAAGTATTAGTCTTAGATTCTTGTATATGCTATTGATTCTGCCATCATAGAGATTTTGGTCTGTCTGGAGAAACAGATATATGCAAACAAAAAGTTTATTAACAAATAAAGTAGTATATAATAAATGGTAAGTGAGAAATTCTTAGGGAAACAATGGATTTAAGAGACACAGAGGGCCAAGTACTGTTGATGTACTGACTATAAAGAGACAAAAGAGAAAGTGGTTGAAAATAACTCTGAGGTTTGTGCAACACGATGAAACATACAAGGGAGGGGGAAATGAGCTCAGTTTCTGCCCCATTCGAAGAAGAACAGGGAGAACCAATACAGTTCTGCAAAAAGCAAATGACCTATATTAAACGATATAGATTATTTTGATTAAATAACTGATAGGGCTAGATCAGTGTTGCTATTATTTTTCTCTATAACAAGATCACTGGTGACATTTGAGTTTGTTTTGAAAGGTGAATGAAGTAAAAATATGAAGAAAATGAAATGATGCCCAGATAAATCGAAGAATGATGCTTGCCTCATTAACTCTTGGATTGAGTAATCTCTATCTGTTCTGATGACTTTTATCAGATCAAAAGATATAAATGTGGCTTTGTCTTCAGATTGTACGATACAAAAAGACTATTAGGATTATGTATGTGACATTGGACAGCAATGTGGATGTTAAAATTTTAAAATAAGAGACAGCTTTTCTCATTGACAATGAAGTCGAGTAAAAGAATCTCTCCCTTTGGTTTTCAAATGTGCATGATTATATATCCACTTTTCTGGTAGTCAGCTGAATCCTGGAAATGCCAATCAGGGTTAAGATTTGTTGGTTGTGAGAGTGTGCAACAAAACAGGGACTATGTATGCAAAAGTCAGAAACTAGTACCTTTGAGGCTTATTCAAGATCATTTAAAGATTCTCTTTCACAGTTACAAAAACCTAGGAAAGTGCTATGTTCTTGTACTGCATGATTGAGGTCCTAATGGGTGTGGTAGTAATCCTTAAAATTCTTCCCAGGACTCAATCCTTAAGAAACTAGGACTATAACTTATGTCTAGGGCAAAAATTTGTTTTAGGAAGTACTACTTTAGAATTTGTACACAAATAAAACCAAGCCTATATAAGGTGTGTGTGTGTGTTTTGTGCTGGGGATCAAAGTCAGGGCCTAGTGCATACTAGGCAAGTGAGTTACATCTCTAACGTCCCATATAAGTAAATTTTAATATGCAATGTTAATGCCCCAAAACTCTACTGGAGGAATCAGAATGATAGCATTAAGTATATGATATCTGGAAATAATATAGTTATTCAGAGAGGCCTCTTAAATCTCATTGAGGCTTTATCTCTAAAATAAGGACAATGAAACCTGTGCCATGATGTTGCTGCAAAATTGAGAAAACAGGCCTTGAGCCTTTTTGTCTTGTTCTGCCTACTTTGCTTTACCTAATCCGAGTGCTACTTTCCCTTTTAAACAATCTGTACTTTATTAAAAAAAAAAGATCGAGAAAATAGATGTATAAAAATGGTTAGATTATAGCTATATATATACATATATATGTATATATATATATATATTTTCATTGTAGTTGGACACAATACTTTTATTTTATTTATTTATTTTTATGTAGTGCTGAGGATCGAACCCAGGGCCTTGCATGTGCTAGGCAAGTGCTCTACCACTGAGCCACAACCCCATTCCCAGATTATAGCTATTTTTTATATTTAACAAATTCATAATAATTTCCTATGTTTCCACAGTTGCACTAAACTGTTTTAATGGCCATGATAAATTTAACATAGCAACATGATTTATTTAAAAATTTAAAAAAATTTTATGTTGTAGATGGATACATATCTTTATTTATTTATTTATTCTTATGTGGTGCTGAGAATGAAACCCAGTGCCTCACATGTGCTGGAACGTGCTCTACTGAGCCACAACCCCACCCCCTAATTTATTTTTAACCACTACTTTATTGTTGGTCATTTGGATTGTATTCAATGTGGCTTGGCACCTCTTTATGTATGATTCTGAGGACATAAAAGCTGTAGAGGCCAAATACTACATATCTTAGGATTTGTGGGACCACATAAGATATCTATTGCATATTCTTTCTTTTTCTTCTTCTTATTTACCCCTCCCCCTAATATAAAATTCATTGCTTGACTGCTATATAAAAACAGGTCACAGGCTGGATTTGGCTGCCAACAGTAATTTGCCTAGCCCTTAATCGATGGGTTTTAACCAGTTTGGGCCTCTTTGGAAGTTCACTGTGAAAACAATTTCAGTCTTGGAAGCTGGCAAGATCCTGTCAATATCTAATCCTAGGTATGAGGTGTTCTTCAGATTCCTCTGCTAATATTTTTCTTTTCTCCAGGAAGGTATAACTGGAAGGTGGTGACACCACAGAGAATGACTGGCCAGTAAAAGTAGGAGTTTTAAAGCTAATTCTTAAGCTGCTGGCTGAAAGCGATTGTGAAGCACTTTCCGATGAGATCCCCCCAATTTTACAAAGTGCCATCTTCTAGAAAAGAGGTCAATTTGTAAATAATCGAAAAGTCTCAAGAATAGCTCTTGAGTAATTCTAACTGTAGTAATAAAAAACTTAGCTGTCATGGGTTAGGAAGGACACAGAATCCATTAATAAATGGAAAGAAAACAGGCTGCAACTCAGTTTTAGCATTTACTAGCTGTATACTCTCGGATAAGGTAGAAATGTCTCACCCTCCAGTTTTTTTTTCTGTTTGTTTGTAAATTGGAGATTACTTACTTGAGATTTAGCATTAAGCACAGTGGAAGGAACGAAGTAGGAGATGAGAAATGAGAAAATGATAGAACTATCTGCTGTAATGGATAGAAACTAGGAGGATCAGTTCTGAGTGACCCTACAAGGGGCAAAGCAGAGGTAGAACACTAGGATCTCTTCCAAGAAAAGACGCTGCTGGTACCGTGATCAGGTCCAATGGCATTGCCTACTTTTCCTGCTCCTGGGAGTCTGCCCCGGAGAGGGCCTCAGGAAGCCCAGGCCACTCCCCAGGACATCTCCGCGGCTCTGAGACACAGCGGGGACGCTTGCGACTCAGCTCTTGGACCTGCCAAAACCCGGCAGGGCCAATCAAGTTAGCTCAAACTCACCTGCTTGGCAGGTGCGCGCGGCAGAGGCGTGACAGGGGAGGGAGGGCGGGCGCGGTGGGCGGGGGCAGAAAATGTAGAGCTCCAGGCGCATGGCACCCGCCGCCGAGGCACCGCGGTGGCTGCCGGGATGCGCCGCAGCGAATGGTCGCGCCGGGCGCCGCTCTGAGTGACCTTTCACCCACGCCCAGCGGTCCCGGGCGGCGGCACAAGGCGGAAGCCATGGCGGAGGCGGGCAGGACCGGCGCGAGCCCCGGCTCTGCAGCGGTCCGGGACTCGGACCTGGACCGCGCTGGGCGGAGGCTTCGGGTTCTCTCGGCCCATCTGCTGGGCCGGCCCCAGAAGGTTCTGAGTACCAATGAGTGCAAAGCTCCGAGAGCCGCGTCGGCGGCCACGGCGGCGGCCACGGCCACTCCCGCCGCACAGGAGTCGGGCACCATCCCCAAGAAGCGGTGAGTAGCGGTCTGTGGAAGCAGCCGGCGGTAAGGGGCCAGTCCGGGCCTGTGCGGCGTGAGGGCACTGGGAAGGTGGGAAGGGAGTCGACACGGGTGGGCGGAGAGCATCCTGGTCCCTGAAAGTACGGATTCACCTTTCGAGAGATAGTGGACCAGATCCCGGAATCTCAAAAGGGGACGGGATTGGGTGGGAGATTTTGGTTACTATATGAGGGTAATATAATTGAGGAGCTTTTATTGGGGAAGGGCCCAGAGAGATCTTTTTTTCTTGGGTTTTTGATGTCAGGAATTCATTTTCTGTCTAAAATACTTTGGGGGTTAAGGTCTTGGAATGGGTAGCAGGGGCTCTATTGCTGTCCCTCCCAGGAGACTCAAGTTTGTACTAGATGATCCTGGGTGAAGGCATGGGGAAGGGACACATTCTGAAAAAAAGGTGTTCACTGGTTTCTGTGGGCAAGGCTTCCACTTCCTTTAGGGGCATAGTTTTTGACTTTGAAGTAGGAAGCCCATGAGTAGTAAGAAGCAATAAATTGCATACACTAGGTAGATGAGTAGGGTGGTATAGTTAATGAATTCTGTATATCATGTAGTGGCTGGGCATATAGACCTGGGTTTGAATTTCCACTAGGCAATTTTACCTTTGGGCAAGTCTGCCTCTCTCAGAGCTTCAGTCTCCTCATAATATAAAAGACAAGGATCTGTGAATGAGGATCTAAGCTTCCGATTTGGGGTGGAGGGCTGGAATCTTAAGGTCCAATGAAAACTACTTCAAGAAACTATTTTCTGAGATGCAGCTGTATCAACATGGACATTGAGAGTGAAAAAGATGTTGCTAATCCGTGTTTTCAAAGAGCCAGAGTTTGTGCTAAATCCATTATTTCTTGCACTCCTCTCCTATGAGGTAGGTTTAGTTTCTTCCCATTTTACAGAAAAGAAATTTATAAAGTCATTAAGAAGTGGGCTGCAGGCTTAGCAGGTATACTGTGTGGCAAGTTAGAATTCAGAAGCACATGAAATTGACTTCAGAGCCAAGTTTTAAAACTAAACTGCTTCTGATGAATAATTCATGAATTCAACATGTGAGAGCCCTTTATTACATACACATCATACTAGCAATACAGAGATTTTTAAAATGCAGTATTTACTTTTAAGAACCTAATGATTATAACTAATAAAGTTATAATGCAGTATGATAAGAAATTTAGCTGATACCTGTAGCATATAGTCTCTTAATCCAAGTTTGACTGTTTTTGTTAGGGCAAAAGCTTTTCTGAATAAAGGTTGTCTGAGTAATCCTGATGTTTATATTGTAAATAGCCTGCTGTTATGGTTTGGTGTCCCCCAAAAGCTCATGTGTTGAAGGCTTGGTTCAGAGGTAGCGTTCAGAGGTAGGCTTTCGGGAAGTGATAAGATCATGAGGGCTCTGATCTCATCCATGGATTAATACACTGATGAGTTCATAATTGGATGGACTACTGGGAGATGGTGGAAACTGGGAGATGGAGCCTGGTTGGAGGAGGTGGGTCACTGAGGGCTTGTCATGGAAGGGTATATCTGGTCCCAGCCCTTTCCTTGTTTCTTGCTTCCTGGCTGCCATGAAGTGAACAGCTTTCCTCCAGCATGTCCTTCTACTGGGATGTTTCTGCCTTGCCAATGGAGTCAGCTGACCATGGTCTGAAACCATGAGCCAAAATAAATCTTTCCCCCTGTAAGTTAATTTTCTCAGGTATTTTGTCATCGTGGTGGAAAGCACACACTAGTTGAAGAAGGAAAAAAGTATTCTTGGTAGACAGTATTTTTACAGGTAAAGAAGTGAGAGAGATTAGGGAACTACTAGAAGTAAAATGTGGCAGCATGGGTGAGAATCACAAGCGATAAAGGCGTGAGAGATGAAACTTTTCAGAATTATACGTAGGGCAAACCATGATCAGATTTACTAGAACCAAGTGAAAGAGTGTTGAGCAGTTTGGTTTGAATTTCCACTAGGCAATTTTACCTTTGGGCAAGTCTGCCTCTCTCAGAGCTTCAGTCTCCTCATTTTTTAAAAAATGTGCAGTGTTTCTGTGAGAATGAAAAAAAAAATAGTTAAAAAGATCAAGTGCTCAGTGCAATGCTTATTACATAACCCTCAACAAATAGTAGCTGCAGTTTTTACTGTGTCCAAAGACAAACCAATAAGTGTCTCTTATTCCAAAGAAGAATGTTGGAATTCTGAATGAAGGCATAATTTTTGAAAAAAAAAAAAAAAAACATTAGAAGGGACATTTTCTAGAACTTGGTTACCAAGTGGTGGAGAGGGAGAAATCAAAGATCACATCTATTTCATCCTTTGGTCACACTGATGTTATATTATTTGTGATTGTGTTTAAGACTTTCTCTTTTGTAAATGGCTTCACATATATTTATGTCTACTTACTTGTATACATCTCTGTGTGATTGTACATTCATGTGCAGGTTCATACTACTAGAACTAAGCAGGGGTCTGGGAATATAGCTCAGTGGTAGAGTGTTTGTATAGCATGTACAAAGCCCTGGGTTCAATCTCTAGTACACAAAAAGAACTAAGCAGGGAGGGCAGATTTTCCTTATGGTTGGATTTAGTTGCCTTGGTTTAAAGCATTTAGAGAAAAAATAGTTATGTTTGTACTGGGGTAATGGATCTGTCACTATAGTTGAAGGTGACTGATTTCCTGTATGGCTGCTCCAAGGACTGAATGCATTAATAGTCTAGGTGTAGCTCTATCCCATTTATGGCATAGCTCACAGCTGGTGGGAAGCTCTGGTTTTTGGTTCAGGGTTAGGTGGTTAATGTTAAAATCTAATCCTGTACAAGTACTTTGAAGTTTAATAAAAATGCTGACTAAAGACAAAATAGAATACTAACTTGTAGAAGAAAAACCTTTATTAGATGAAACATTAAAACTCCCTCAGAGAATGATTTATTTGATAGATTATTCATAAGAAACCCAGTACTGTTTTCTGCTTTTTATTGCTTAGTTGGGCCTTGAGTTGTCAGTACCAGAACTGAGCCTAAGAGAAAGGCAAATGATGGAGCAAGAAGGAGCCAGAGTATATATCCAGTAAAGTGTGATTGTAATCATAAAGCCGTTACTTTAGAATAATTTTGTGGTTTGTGTTGAAAATTATAATTGTTTTATCTCATGGCTGGTTAGACTTAAATTCACATGAACTTGTAGTAGTGACTTCTTAAAACTTCATGCTTTTTTAAAAAAATTGTTTTTGTACCAGGAATTTAACTCAGGGGCACTTGACCACTGAGCCACATCCTCAGCCCAATTTTGTATTTTATTTAGAGACAGGGTCTTGCTGAATTGCTTAGCACCTCACTTTTTGCTGAGGCTAGCTTTGAATTTGCGATCTTCTTGTCTCAACAGCTGTTGGAATTACAGGTGTGTGCCACCACACCCAGTGAAACTTCATGCTTTCATTCTTCTTACAGAATAGTTATACATACATTATTAATTATGCTCAAGTAATTTAGTGAACATTTACACAGTAGTTAATTTATGACAAGTACTACCATACATGTTAAAAAGGAGAGTAAATAGTCCTCTGCCTTAAAGTATTCAGGAAGGGAGATAACATATTCCAGTAGTTTAATTAAAGCCACTGTAGATAAGGGTACTGATGCAGTACAAAGGAAAGAAAGAATGGTGGATGTACTCCATGAGGTCAGTAGAAGCTTTCTGGAGAAGGCTTTAAGATATTGGTGATAGTTTGGCAAGTTCAGTGGTGAGGAGAGATATATTCTAGGCAAAGGGAAAAATATATGTCAAAGTAAGGGGGTATGAAAGTATATATTGTATTTAGGTAACTAGACGATTCATTGTTGGTGCAGTGGGAATAAAGTGAAGAAAGAGCGCATTGTCCGGTCATGGAGGCCTTTGGTCTATAGGTGATCAGTCTATACATTCAAGTGACCTATAGTAGTGAACAGAAACTGTGCCCTTTACAGAATTTATATTTTGTTCAGAGTGGGGACAGTGAACAGATAAGTAAAATAGTATGTCATAGGGTGATAAAAAAATGAAAGAGTGAAAAGGCTAGTTAATGGCAAATGCTTGAAGGAATGAAGCTGATCATAGATAAGATCAGATTGGGTTTAGGTTTGAGAGAAGTCATTCCAGCCACAGTATTAATAATGGGCTGGAGGTGGGCATTGTGGTGCATGCCTGTAATGCCAGGGACTTCAGGGTCTGAGGCAGGAGGATCTCAAGATTTAGGCCAGCTCCAGCAACTTAGACCCTGTCTCAGAATTAAAAAAAAAAAAAAAAAAAAAAAAGACTGGGGATATAGCTCAGTGGTAGTGTCAGTACTAGAGAAAAAAAAAGAAGTAGAAGAAGAAGAAGAAAAAAAGAATGGGTTGGTGAAGAGTAAAGATGGACAAGATGGACATAGGGAGATAAGTTAGGGGAGGTGTTTGGAGCGCAACAGGTGAGAAATACTGAAGGAATAAAACAAGATTATAACAGTGAGTATGGGCAGGAAAGGATGGATTTGAGAGTTTCCGAAGTTAGTGCATTAGGTGATACTTTTAAAATTATGTGACTAAATTAATGCCATGGGAGTTGGACAAGTGAATAAAAATAGAAAAGGGATGAGAGTTCCTGAGAAACGTGGGCATTTAAGAGGGTTGGTCAACCAAAATGTGTTGTCATATACTCCTCTGAATTGGTTCCAACTACTTTAATTAGCTAGGAACATACATTCTCATTATTTGAGGTTGCTGAGCAGATTTTTGAGGGTGACAGTTTAATTTTGGACCCTCTTTTTTTAAGTGTGTGTTACTCCATGTATAGTTTTCATTTGACCTTGTTTTTGAATGCAGTTTTAGATTCTTAAAAATTATAGTAAATGTCAGTTACACATGTGACATTTTTATGTCTTTCTTTTTTTGATTTTTTTCAGTTTTTTTTTTTCAGTGACTGTAATGTTACAGAAAAGAGAAGGAAAAGGAAAAAATCCCTTGTTGACTT